AAGAAGAAATGAGTAAAAATACAGAACTGCTATTTCGGAATGATTCTGCATGATAGAGCAAGAATGAGCCAAGAATCAACGTTTCCTGTAAACAAAAGCAAAACAAGCCAAAAAAAAAACAAAACCCCAAGAGAAGAGAACAAATCCCCCCCATATGATTGGAAACGGCGTGGCTGCATGTTTGCGTAGCTCCACCGCGCTGGTTTCTAAGCAGGAAATTATCTGTGGCTGATCACGAGAATACTAAATCAAAATCTAAGTACAGAAACCGTTTCACGTGCTTGTCCTCAGCAAAAGACCGCAAAAAGCACGCGCCGAGCATGAGGGTAAACGAGAACGATAGGGTTAATGAGCAGCACGGCTTCGTGTGGCGGCCAGAGTTGGGGTCGGGCGCTCGTCCCGCCTGCAGCGGGTTTAAGCTCTCAAAATTCAAGCTAATCATGACATTTGAATGATTCTATTTTTTTTTTCCCCTCCCTCCACCAGACACATCAAATTCCTTCACGTCCGTTCCATTTGGCCCAAAAAGAAATGAACCCACTTATTTCTTGATAAATTTGTGAATCCAACCAGAAATGTAATCAAGCAGAGAGGCCTGCAGAAATCTATAGCTCCGGCCCTAACCATTCCAAGTGATTCGAAGGTTTGAGTTATTCTATACGGGAGCAATTCAGTGCAGCACACCGGGGCTGATCTGCATGTCAATAATCCACCAGGAGGGCCTGAAACAATGAGAGGCTGCTGCTCGTTTCGCAGCCCCGAAGAGGCCGTTCTGCTTCGTCTCTCTCACCGTGTTGCCACACAACTCCCCTTTTCACCTCCTTTCCAAAAAGAGCTTCATGTCGACGTATAGACCTTCCCTCTCCCTGCTCCAGGTTGGCCCACATAAGAGCCAAAGAGCAAAATCGTTTTGGTTTGCTTATTATACGGAATTACCTTTCCATACAAAGACTGCTAACTTATGCAGGAGCCAGTCCTCCGGGGAACGCATTATGTTGCCGGCAAACATTTGCTATTCTCTTGCATGCTAACCATCTTCTACACGGCAGAAAACAGCCATTTAAATCTCATTCCATTTCTCGTGGCACAGCTCAGAGGCGGCAATAAGGGAAGGGGGACGTTTTCGTTAAAAGCGGGTATTGTTTTCTAACTGGGCATTTGAAACAAATCCCACCGACAGGTGCTGTTAAGGTGTATTTGGCTGAAAGTCATTGAATCCACATGAAAATGAATATATTATGTTTTGTTACCATCAGAAAGGGACACAGGACAACGCTAACTATATATTCTCGGTGTGTTTTCTTAGGTTGTGAGCTGAAAAAGGATTATAGACTTGAAGAAATAATAGAATCATAGAATGATTTAGGTTGGAAAGGACGTTGAAGTTCATCGAGTTCCAACCCCACTGCCATGGGCAGAGACACCTCCCACTAGACCAGGTTGCCCAAGGCCACCTCCAAAAAAACCCTTTAGGGCCTGGAAGGCCACGATAAGATCCCCCCGGAGCCTTCTCTTCTCCAGGCTGAACCCCCCCGACTCTCTCAGCCTGTCCTCCCAGCTGAGGTGCTCCAGCCCTCGGATCATCCTCGTGGCTCTCCTCTGGACATTCTCCAGCAGGTCCATGCCCTTCTTATGTTGGGGACTGCAGAGCTGGAGGCAGTACTCCAGGTGGGGTCTCCCCAGAGCAGAGTAGAGGGGCAGAATCCCCTCCCTTAACCTGCTGGCCACACTTCTTTTGAGAAAATTGCAAACTTCACAGCGTAGTTATTTATGTGATGATCCCTAAATGAAAAGCGAGTGGTTTGATACAGTTTCCAATTCATATACTGAAATAAAGCTTTTTTTTTTTTTTAAAAAAAAAAAAAGGAAAAGAAAAGATAAGACTTGTTTAATGCAAAACACTCCTTTAACCAGTATACCATTTTCTGCTTTAGAGACTGTGCTTTCTTTCGCAGGTCACGGGGGTAATGTAAGAAATGGCAGGCAGACAAACTGCCTCTGGCACAACTCAGGAGTAGACCAAAGAGTACATTCCAACAGTGGTCACACCAGAATAATTCTCCCAAGCCCGGTGCAATGGTGAAAAAAACCCCAATGTGTTAGAATAAAAATCAGCAGCGACTGATAAGAAAATAATCTATCAGAAGTTCACTCTAAACTGGAAAGACAAAACACATCCCCACCGCTCCAGGGCCGGCAATGGAAACATGTAACTTACTGAAAGCAGAAGAGAATAGTTCTTATCATCAAGATTTAGATCGGATTAAAGAGTTGGGGATGGGGGTGGGTTATGAATGGTGTTTTAAGGGTCAGCTTGGCTCCATTTGCTTTATAATGCATGCTAAAACTTCCACTTAGTCAAGTAAAGATAATTTTTAAGATTAAAAAAATTCCTAAATACCGCTTTTTTAGACTTTGCGAACTCCATGTGCGACAACGCCAACAAATGGTGGCTGAAACCCGCGGACGCCCTACGTGCTGCGACTGCGGAGTCTTGAGACGGGAGGGGATCTTCATCAGTTCGGAAGGACCAGGCGAGGGCAGGTTTGAAGCCGACAAAGCCTTCAGCGCAAGGAAAATACCTACCTTTGGGCTATCCAACAGAGGTTAGAAAGCGAGCGGTATCGCGGGAGAACCGTCTCAGTCCGGCGCTTGCTCACGTCCTAAAGCTGCCATGTCTAATGCTTTAAACGCCGTTTCCTTCGCAACCTCCGCTCTTCGGATAATTGCGTACACTCAAGCGGTAGGTCAGGGGGGACGCCGTTGTCCTATACGTGCCAAGTCGAAGAAAATTAATTTCCTTACCAAAAGAAAGGAAGAGCTGGCAAGACTGACGTTAAACAATATTGATTCTGCGGCACAAGGGTCTCGAAAGCAGAGCCAAAACAAACAAGCGTGCTTTTGGATCCAGCATCCATAATATATCCATAATATATCACTGGCCCAGATGGATCTGAAACGGCTCAGCAGAGGACGCGGCTCTTTTCCTTCTCCTTGCTGCAGCGAAAAGATGCGCAAAGCTCCCGGTTGAAAAAAAAAAAAATTAAAAAAAAATCGTAACAAGTCATGTGTAGAGCAGAATTCAGCCCCATAGTTCTAACAAAAGAGAAGACACTGGGAAAATACTCATGCATATCTGATGCTGACGGAAAGCCAGGGTGTGACTAACATATTGGAAAAGTGTTTTCCTCTTCGTACGGAGACTGCCCCGGCAAATAATTCCATGAAGGTTACAAAGACCTTGCATTGCAGCTCCTGTAAAGGAACAGCTGTCTACAAACAGACTTGCAAATGTACTTCTGCATCTCATTTTTCTTTTTTTTTTTTTTTATTTAATTTAAACCTTTAGTAGTACTTATTTATTTCAACAGCTCCCTTCTGTTAGCATCAACTATAGCTCCTTCCCCTCCATCTCTTCAGAGATTTCCATAGCAGAGGAGTTTTCTATAACGGCATCTTCAGCACCCCGTTTAAAAAAAAAAAAATAAGTGAGAGTACACTACACTTCATTAAACGTGACAATCACATTCCTCCACACAGTTGGTCTCACAGAAAGCATTCTGTCGAATCCAGCTACCTACACTCTCTTTAACTTATCAACACAAACAATGAATTTTGTTGTGAGACGGGAAGGGCAAAATATGCCTTTTCGCCCTCCCACTAAGGCTCCTGGAAGAAGAAAACACCTTTCCCTCCACCGGTAACACCCGTCCTCTCCAAAATCCCAATTTTAATGCCTGAAAGTAGTTCCAACAAAAAAATAGCAAACTTTACAATTCAGAATTGTTTTCATTTTTTTCTGAATTTTTCTTTTTTTTCTGATATTTTTCATTTTTTTCTGAATTTTTTCATTTTTTCTGATTTTTTTTTCATTTTTTCCTGATTTTTTTCATTTTCAATCATTTCTTTTTAACTTAATTTCGGTTTTGCCAACTCAATGAAAATCTTTTAGCTTAAAACAACCCAAAAAAAAAAATTCCGGACTCGCCGCAGATTCTGCGCTCTCTATCGTGCTTAAATGACTTGTGTTTAGCTGAAAGGTATCTCAGAGAAAGCCAACTGAACCCCTTCTCGGAGAAAGCCACCCAGCCCTGACGGCAGAGGTGGTCTCGAGCGCGCTATGGGGAGACATCACAGCAGCTCCCTCCTCCCGCTCATTAATCCTCTGCTTACATACCCCAATTAATGCACTTAATGCATCAGCCCTCTTCTTCATGGCACTCATGGGGATTCCTGTTTGAAGGCATCGTTTCTCCTCCGTCCTTCGCAGAGCTATTGCTTTCTACAGGATTTCTTTAGGTCTTGCCTACTTTCTTATTCCTATATATATTTTTTATTATTATTATTTTGTAATTGCCTATAGTTAAAACACGTTGTTTGAATAGACTTTGTTCACTGCCCAATTCACCCCCTGTATCTTTCTCTAAACCCATTTAACTCCAGTAATAATCAGTTCACGTTGATTTTCAGGTAATCGCTCTTAGGCGCTGAACGGCATCAGGGCCAATGGCCATCTCTACCCAACGCCACCATCAACGTACCCACCCAGGGATGGTTCCCAAGTCAAGAGCCAATTTTTAAACCATTAAACCATTAGCAGCAAACAGTGTTTATGTTTTGAACGAGGACATCAGGCAGCTCCAGCCGAGCACCTTCCAGGCACCTGAGCCTACATGGTGCTCTCTATCACATCAGGGAAGGGGATCCAGTTGGGTTCTCAAGGCATCATTTTCCGTAGAGCCCTCTCATTTCTAGACAGCTACTGTTTTCTCACTCAAGATTTAGCCTGAGAATCAGCGTTGATAGATCGGAATTCCCCGCTACGTGAATTCTGTGGTTTGCTCAGTCCACCTGTAGCTTCCCTCCAGAAATCCCACAGGGAACAGCAGCTTACAGCCTTGCGCAATACTAGGTTGTTTTACTCATATCCAATCAAATACAGATGTTTTGATTTCTTCTCTCCTTTTAGTATGTTCATGCTAGTGACACTTGAGATCAACTGGTGGGGTTTTTTTTAATCAAAACTCCTTTCTCCTTTCTTTTCCTTCCCAGCACATTCTCCTTCCTTTCCGAAGCCCATCACGTCAATGTCAGCAGAAGAACCCGCTTCTTCGCAACCCTACACATACTTTTTCCTCTTGTCCTGCTTTAAATGATCCAACCTCACCTCTTAATTCTGCTACTCGTCTTCAGTATTTCCTGCCTGACTTTTGGGGTATCTATTTAATCATGAACATCCACTTCAATAAGTCTACAATCATATTGTCCTTCTCAGCCACGTTTTAATTACTTCTACCCCTTTACAAAACCTCCTGTTGGGGAGAGCATCTGTCATTCGTTTTGGTGGTCACCTCACCCCAAACCACGACACAATACTTCTTTGTGAAAGAAACAATCAGAAATAATATCCTGCATGATGAAGTCACTACGATGGTTTTTGCTTCCTTATGTCAATACAAGAATCTTGAGCGAACATTGCAATGTTCGCTTTATTTTATCATTACAAAAAGCAGTTCAACCATTTGCCTCAGTATCAAACCTGTTGCTGGAGGACTTAAACGCCCTTTGCTATTTACCGCTCCGTCATTCTGTCCTCTTATACTCAATACATTCTACGCGTTAACTTTCCGAATCTCCTCCTTTCACACACATGACCATAACAAGGGCGGCGCAGACACCACGAATAATAAAACCCAGGTGGTGTTTCATACAGCTGCACTACGCTGCTTTAGAAACCCATTTCAAAGCCACTGGGATGAGCCTATCAGCCAGGACAAATGTTTGTCCTGCCAGCGACTGCTGCGGGTGGCCCAGAGGCAGACACCCAGGGCCCTAATGACCCCAAAACCCCCTAATGACCCAAAAAAGCCATGGGTACTAAGTCACAGCATGTGGACTGCTCATCTACGTGCAACAGGAATAACTTAAGAGAACCTCATAAATTCATACGACCTAAGTAATAGAATCATAGAATGGTTTGGGTTGGAAGGGACCTTGAAGATCATCGAGTTCCAACCCCCTGCCCTGGGCAGGGACACCTCCCACCAGCCCAGGTTGCTCCAAGCCCCGTCCAATCTGGCCTTGAACACCTCCAGGGATGGGGCAACCACAGCTTCTCTGGGCAACTTGTTCCAACTTGGACTTTTCACAGAATCATAGAATTGTTGAGGTTGGAAGAGACCTTCAAGATCATCAAGTGGCCACACTTCACAATAAAACACATCAACTGATACGACGGATTGCACTATTCAATTTGTGTCTATTAAATATACATTTTCCAGATTGACGCAGAAGTAACTGGTGGAGATTCCTGACGTCAGCCCTCTGCGTAATCACACTCAGCAAATACAGAACATGCAATAAAGCAAATCTGGGGGAAAAAAAAACCCAGACCTACCCAAAGGTCCCACCTCTTACCGGGGATTCTTCAGGACAGGACACTCAGAGCGACAGTTGAGCCGACAATACCGGGCTCAGCACCAGCACCAGAGCCCGGCAGCACCGTAACTCAGTAAATTCAGCCCAACCTCTTCACAGATCTAATGGACTGTTGTTAACGTACACAGATATACACTGCCCACACGCGTCAATGACTGCAGACACAACCGAGCGTACAGCAGAGGAAGAAAATGGTTTGCCGTGCCGTTTGACTGCCGATTCTCCCCATTGCAGCAAATCACCCCAAAGCAGCTTTTCCAGAAACCAGAATCTAAAGAAGTTTTCAAGATTCAGACTTGGGTCTGAAGTCTAAACTTTTTTTTTTTTCTGTGCTGGGAAACATTAAAACCCAGAAACCTGAGAGGTTAAGAGGTACGCTAACCAAAGAATCAGAAGGAGAGGGCGGGAGGGCAGTGATGGCCGGCGATGGGCACACAGGGTTTTCCCCTCATGCCTGCACACGTCGCACCAAAACCCAAAACATGAGTTTTCCTGCTCAAGTGCTTGACCCCATTATGTACCCACGTGGAAACTTGATGCTAAAATGTATCATTCCACAGCAGAAGGATGTTGGCGTTTCAGCCCATTTATTAGCCTGTTTCACCATAGGGTGTCACGGTTTAACCCCGGGCAGGACCATGCGGCCGCTTGCTCACCCCCTCAACTGTGATGGGGGAGAGAATCGGAAGGGTGAAAGCGAGGAAAAACTCATGGGTTGAGATAAAGATGGTTTGATAGGTAGAGCAAAAGCCGCACAAGGAA